GGTTTTAGTTATATACGTGTATGTGTGTGTCTGTGCTGGATTGTGATGTAAAATGTATCTTTTAGGTCAAAAAAGTTTGTAAGCCACTGTAGTTAAGTTGCACTGGCAAATAAAAGCAAAAATTAACCCCCCAAAATGTATAGCCTTATTGGGATCTAATTGATATACCATCAAATTCACCCCTCTAAAGTGTACAATTCCATGGTTTTTAGTACATTCCCACAGTTGCCTGTACCCCTCCCACTGTGTCACAGCCGTCCTGCAGTGTGGGTGGTGCTGTGCCCACTTGAGACACGGGGCCACCCTTCCATTCTGCAGTGGCAGGGCCAGCACTCCAACCTGGGTCCAAAACATCACTGCCCACCCCGACTTCACAGGCCGGTACTCACTCCCCACTGCCGCCACGCGCGCTTGATGACCGTGGCGGCCGTGTGCAGCCTCTGGATGTGCTTCCGAGTCAGCCAGGAACGAATGGCTAAGGGGTTTGCCAGAAACAGGAGACAATAAAACGTTCGTTAGAGCCCTTGGTCACCTGGCTGCAGCAACACCAGAGCCACTGTGAAAGTGCACGAATGGCTGCCTGTGCCACCACGTAAGGTCAGGTACTAAAAGTCAACACGCTAAGCAAACCTGGCTCTGAAAACCACCACTCAGACTGCCCAGACTCAGAGACCCCTGCATCGAAGGGGCAGCTGCCATGGGGTCACCTTGGGCTCAGTCTGGGGCAATGCCCGGGGAACAGGAGGGGTCTGAGTTGTCTGCCTCTCCTTTTTTGTAGGGGGAGACCTTCAGTTGAATTTGCCTGCTTGCTTTATGAATCCACAAATGGTATCACCATATAGCCACACACTAGTGAAGGTCAAAGCTGTCGGATGGGGGACCGAATGTGGCAATTTAAATTTTCTTCTCTTGAAATTTCACACAACATTGTAAAATGATTATGAATCAATAAAAAAAAATTAAAAAAATTGAAATTTCAGCATTTTCTGATTCTTTTTGGTACAGTCCTATTCAGAAAAGGGGCTATTCCATTAAATACTAGGACATTTGGATTTTGCAAAACTAAAAAGTTTGAAGACATAAAAGTCCCCTGTTCTCACCAACCCAGATAGTTCTACAGTATTTCCTTTTTTTTATGCCTGTACACACCGAAACACAACGTACAAAGGTGGTGCTGTCCTGATGTGTGTGTAGTTCGACATCATATTGGAAAAATGGTTTTCCAATAAATTTAAAGTATTCTTCAAAAAGACTTCTTAGCTGGGTCATAAGGATGGTCCCTAATGCAGCCATGGCTCCGGCACTGTCAGCTATTTGGGTTGCTTCTAGTATTTTTGCTGTGTCGTGGTTCATACGTCTGTTCCTTGCTCAATCAAATCTTGTCGGTTTTTACCTTCTCAAACTCGTAACAAGCCCGGGGAGCCCAGGTATTGATACGAGTTGTCAGGAGGGGAAAAAAGACAGCAGAAATAGCTACCTAGGTCTGCGAGAGGGGAATTAAAGGCAGATTTTTAGCTCCTGCTACCTACAGAGCACCACTGAACTGGAGACACCTCTGGGTGAGGACAGGGAATTTGAATCCTGGCACACCACAGGGACGTGCAGGGACCGTCCTGAGGCTGGGACGCAGCTTTGGCACGTGGGGCTCAGTGAGGAGCATTTCAGAGCAAACAGGCATCTGTGGGGTGGTTGCTGACGTGCTGACTGAGGCCCAGCAGCTGGCCTGGAGCGATGGCTGCGCGCCCGCACCCTCTCCTACCTGCCTGGATGCACACGGCGGCCCGCCTCCGCCTCTCCTGCTCACGGCGCCGGTGTCGCCTCCATCCCGCCTGGATGCAGCGGGCACACTGCTCCAGCGCCTGGGCACGCCCGCGTTCCAGAAGCTCCAGCTGGGGGAAGGCACATCCACGGAGGTCCTCAGCCTCTCCTCCCCCCTGCCCGGAGGAGGGCCCAGACCCTGGCCTGCTGAGGACAGCACGTGGCTGGCCGCTGTGCATCCCAGACCAGCTTACCGTGGCGTCAGTCATGAACACCTTGGTCCTGCCACAGTGCACCGGTGCTGGCGTGGCCCCCGCTGGGGCAGCTGGTGCGGCTGCTTCCAGAGCGGGCAGAGTGTGGAGGATGTCCTGGAGGAGGGCTCGCAGCGTGGCCTGCTCGGCATGTGGAGACCCTTCTGGGGCACAGGAGAGAGAGGTCCCAATAGCGCTCTGTCCTCTACACTTCTGTGGCCTTAAGGAACTGGTCTGGTCTCCCTAACATTCCATAGGCTTCTTTCCTGCTGTTCTTGCCTCTAACCATTTCTACCTCCTTCCTTTTTTGGAGGAGGCCAGAGGTGGCCCCCTTTTGTCCCTTGGGCCCCTGACTGTTCTGAGGCATCTGAGTCCTGTGTGAGGCTGTGCCCTGGACCGGCCTGCAGCCTCCATTCCTGTGAGTCCCTTTGGGCAGGGTAGTGTGGGGCACTTGGTGCCTGTCCCCCCAGGCTGCTCAGCCAGCATCTGTTTCCAAGGCCCCAAACATGCTGAGGGGCAAACAGAGCAGTCAGGCTGCCCCCTCTGGCCCTGAGCTCTCCCCGCCACGGACGGACGGGGAAGAGGAAGAACAAATCCCAGGCCCGTGGAGGCCTGCCCGCCCTCCCGCACCTCGCAGGGCTGACTCCTATAGAGGGACAGTTTACCTGAGGGCTCTGACCACCTCTAGCTGCCCAGTGCCTCTCTGGGGACAGAGGCTGCCAAAGGAGATGCGCAGACGAGAAACAGCAAAATCAACCAGGGCCCAGGGAGCTTTGGGCAAGAGACACAGAACAGGAGAGCACACCATGGAGATGGGGGAAGAGAGAGAGGTGGGGAGAAAGGATGAAAGGAAAGTGACAAAACAGTGCCCAAGAGAGGGGAAAAACAAAGCAGAACTGTCCCACCCGGGTTTGGGTCCCGGGATAGGGCTGGGCAGGTGGGTGGGGGCCCCACACCCTGTCCTTGGCCTCTTCTCCCTCCACCTGTGCCTGGGGCCTTCTCAGCCTCAGTGACGCCACATGCGACAGCCCCCCGAAGACAAGACCTTTCCCTTGAGGTTGAAGCTTGCAGTCGTCTCCACTGCATGAGTCCAGGGACCCGGAGTACACGGCAGCATCGGCAGGGCTCAGTGGCCTCCCGGGACCTCTCTTCCCCACTGGCTGGGCGTGGCCAATTCTATCCTCTCCATCTAATCAAATGCTGACCAGTCTCTTCCCAACATTTCCTGGCTGGGCCCACATCTCTAGCTTCTGTCTCCTCTGGTCAACCATGGGGCTCCCACAGTAGCGTCCAAAAAGCACTGATGCTGGCATCACTCCCTTCCTACCCGCAACTGCCTCCCATCTGCCCAGAGAATAAAGTCCAGCTTCTGTGACTGCGCCCTGCCTCTACCCCAGCCTCACCTCCCACTGTCCTCTGCCTTTAAGAGCCAGCGACATTGAAGCCTGGAGCTCCTCACACACAGCCGTCTCCTGCCTGTAGAATGCCCTTCACCTGGCTAATCTCATCTAGCCTCAGACACCCCTCCTCCAGGAAGCCTTCCTGCTGATTTATACAGCACTACACACAGCACCTATCCCTAACTCCACCTGTCCACTTTCGCCACTGTTTAACTGTCTTCTGTTAGTCTGCTTCCCCCACTGAATTGAGAGCCATGAGGGCAGGGCTGTGTTCTACTCATCTCTGAAGCCCCAGCCCCTCGCCCTGCGATGGCCCAGGTAGGTGCTCAGGAAACTGGGTGAACAAATGACTGGCAAATGGGCGGCCTCACCTGAGTGCCCTTCATCTGGAGATGGGCTGTGGGGGTCGGGGGGTGCACGAGGATGGAGCCTTCTCAGCGACGCATACCGCTCCACGAAGGTCCGGTGAGAGACCCTGGAAGCCAAAGCAGGCAGAAGGAGAGATGAAGTGACTTCATCTGTGAGTCAGGAGTTTAATCTCCTCAACCCCCAGCCATGTGCTGCCCTGACTGCCCACTGAATGGATGACATTACTAGGGTCACTCGGCCAGAAGCCAGTGGAGGCCACTTTACGCTGGGCTGGCACCTCCTGCAGGCTTGGTCCTCCCCAGGCCAAGTCTTGCTCTTTCAGGAGGGGATTTGCAACCTGCCTCCTCCCGAGGGGGCTCGCCGGCCTCTCCCCAGACAAGCAGGTCACCCTAACTGTGCACAGGTGCTCAGCACATCTGCCATCACTCCCCTCTGACCCCACGGCCTCCTCTGCTTCCTCCTGACCTCTCTCCTCCCCTTCACAGCCAAGCTTCTCTGAACAGCTGTATTTCCTCCTCCTGAGTCTGGCTTCTGTCCCCAACACGGCACCAGTGTGGCTCTCAGGGCAGCCATCAGCAAACACCATCCACCAAATCCAGGTGTCAGCGCTCTGGCCTCTGGGCAGCAGGTGCCCCGCTGACCCCTTCCTTGTAGAACTTGCAAGCTCTCAACCTCCAGGACACCCACAGTCTTGGTTTCCTCCTTCACCTTGACTCCTTCCAAGTTGTTGCTGGTTTCTTATCATCCACCCTCTCTCTAAACATGAGCATTCCTCAGGGAATGGCCACAGACCTCTTCCCTCTACCCCTGTGGTTTCCTCCTGGCTCATGGTGTTAAAAATCACGGAGGACAGACCCTTACGTACGCCTCCATTTCCAACCTGACCCTCCCCCAAATCATCCACTTGTCTCAGACAAAAGTCTGGAAGTTCCTTCTGCAGCCTGGAAGTCTACAGCTTCCCTGCCCAGTATCCCATAGTCGGTTAATCCACGGTCCAATTTCTATCACAAGCCATACTCCAATTCTACTCAATTCTCTCCATTTTTCACTGGGCCACCATCTTGCCTGTACATTTGTAACAGCCTCCCACCTATCTCCTCCCTTCTCTCCTGGCCCTACGTCCAGCCACATAGCATCCCTTCTTATGACGTCCAGCAGCTCCCACAGCACTCAGACAACTGCGGTCTTCACGCGGCGTACGGGCCCTGCGGGTGTGGTTTCTGCTCCCCTCTACCGTCCTCCCAGTTTGCTGTGCTCCGGTCACTTCAGCATCTCTCAGGTCCTAACCTGGGAACTTTGTGGTTGCTGCTCCCTGGGTCTGGATGCTCTCTCCTCCCCCAGGTCTTCCCAGGCCAGGTCGCTCCCCGTAGAGCCCCTCCCTGACCAGCCCTGACCTAGTCTACCTAACGGCAATTTTTCCTTTCCCAGCTCTGATTAGCTTTATATTTCTTGTTCTTGTTTCCACAATGTACACCCCAAGAGGGCAAGACTCACCTTCCTTATTCACTGATACACACCAGAAACATATGAGTGAACAAGCAAGGTGAGTCTTGCCCTCTTACCTGCCATAAAACAGTGCATGGAAAGCGAGTCCAGCCTTACAGCTCTATGTCCACTTCTGGGGACCCACCTCTCTCTCTCCATCTCCACATCCTGCTCTGGGCTGGGCAGGCTGTTGTCTGACCTGCGCCCCAAGCTCCACCTTGGCATTGGCCCTGTCCCCTGCCCTGGATGGACCCGCCCACTCACCGGATGGGGAAGCCGGCGGCACTGATATGGATGGTCTCCACGAGGCCACAGGCCTCCAGCTGGTTCAGGACCTGCAGGGGTGGGGAGACAGGCTGGGCACCTGCAGCATGGGGCCAGCAGGCCAGAAATGCCACTCCTCCCTCGGCCCTGTTGGCATGGGACTGCAGGCTCTCCTGAGGCTCAGCTGATGGGGGACACTCTTTGGGGCAGTGAGAAATCAAGAGACCTTGAGAAAATCTTGCTACTGGAAAGGGTTCTGGTGGCCCCAGGTCCCCTTACCTGAAGCCTGGCTTCTAGTACAGCCGAGGTGAGTGCCGGTCCTGGCTGTCTCACCACTCCCGACTTTGCCTCACGGTGCAGCCCAACCCATTTCTACTTTTATTTACCTTATATTCTGCAGGCAACAAGTGAGTCACAGCTGAGGGGCAGGAGAGGTTATATTCTGAAGATTCTTCCAGGACCTAACCAAGGTCTTTACCACACAGCAGCGGCCCTGGCTATGAACCCTAAGGCCACATCTACCAGTAACTGTGGGACACTCTCCAGCATCGTCCAGCACTCATACCTCATCCACATCCCTCCACACGGCAAAGGGCAGCTACTGGCCACGGAGTGCATTTGTGCAAATTTTAGAAACTATACTTCTAGTCAGAAACTGCCATGCTGGGCCCGATCTGGAAGGTGACACAGAGTTTCAGCTAATCACAGAAGATACCCCTTCCTCTGGGCAGCCTGTCCCTCGTCTGGGCCCATGGCTTTGTGAGCAGAGAGCAAGATGCACTGAAGCCCCTACTCGCCTTCTATGGTTGGGCCACTGTGCAGTGCACAGACCACACAACCAGACATGACTGTCCTGCCAGAGCTGGGGAGATAAGCCATCCCTAACATCACTGCACTCGGAGCAGATGCCCTGCCTTTCACCCCTCTGGGGCCTTGGCTGGCTGGGGCCCCCCGAAGGAGCGCTGGCCCAGTGTATTACCTCCTCCCGGTGGAGCGCCTGCGCCCGGCCCTGGCTGTTGGGCTTGATGCAGCGAATGTAGTGGGGCGTGGTGGCCTGCAGGACCTGCAGGAGTTGCTCCAGGGAGGCCTGCAGGAGGCAGAGACTGTGAGGGGCACCCCAGGCAGCGGAGGCAGAGTGTGCAAGGGCTGAGAGACAGCAGAAACTTTAGATACGGGAGGAGGTGATGAATCTGCTCTGGTCGAGGACCGAGTTTGAGCAGGAAGCTAGGGGACCAGGTCATAGAGGTTCTGGTAACCACTGCTCTTCCACAATCACCCTATCAGCAGGAGGTGAGAGGCCCCACGGCCACCCACAGGCCCCTCAGCTTCCTGTCACATCAATTATGCCCATAGTCCATCTGTCAGATTCCCACCTCTGACTTCCAAATGGAATTATCAGCTCTGTGCAGACCGGGACCATGTCTGCTTGACTCATCAGTGCTCCTCAGCACACAGCACCAATCCCGGGGGCGCTCAGTAAGCACTGGAGATGGGTGAGTGAGCTGAGCATGTCTCCTCAGCACCACCGGACCCACCTTGAACTTGGACACCACGGTCAACACCGGGGCCCTGCTCTGGCCAGAAGGCTCTGCCTGGGACTTCTCTTCAGGGTCGGCAGGAAATAGCACCTTGAGCAGGGGGTCCTGGGATTGCTGCAGGAGCCTGGTCAGCTCAGGGGGCACGGGGTCCTACGGGAAAAGGACAAGGACAGCAGGTGAGGACAGGTGGAGTGCTACCCCGGGCTGTCCATGGGCTGCCAGCCTGGCTCACCCAGGCCCCAGAAGAAGGGCAGGGCTTGAGCCTGAGAGACTCAGAGCTGGTCCGCTGGACGCCTTGAAGCCAGTGTGAGTGACACGGGTCGTCTCTGCGCAGGTCATGCCCGATAGCAGAGACTTCAGACAGGTGGGCCCAAGAGCTGACCCTGGGTTCTGGAGGATGTTCAGGAGGGAGAGGGTGCACAACAGAAATGTCCGCACACGCTCAACAATGACAGCAGCTCGCCTCCCACCGGCTCCCACCACAGCCCTCACCTTGTTCTTCTCCACCAGGCCCGCGGTGTGGTACCGCACAGACCCCGCGTAATGCAGCACGACGAAGCTGGGCTCCGGGCTGAGCTTGTTGTGGCCCAGGCAGGGGCTGCCGGCCAGGGCGCTTTCAATGCGCGTCTGGAGCTGGGCTGCGCTGCTTGGCCGATTAAGGCGGCACTCCTGTGTGGGCCGGGATGCGCAGTCAGCCACAGAAGTGAGAGGGGGCTCACGACCCTCACAGTCCCCACCCCGTGGACCCCAGGGGAGTTGTCACACAGGCATCACAGTGACCCTGAGACAGAGGGGACATAGGGCTAGCAAACCCATTATGCAGATGGAGAGACAGAGGCACAGGGAGGGCAAAGGATGGTCTTCAAGGTCCCAGAAAAGCCCAGAGCCCAAGTCGGTGCTCAGCACACTAGCTGACCCCCCCACCTCATTTATGAGGGAGCAGATGCTGATGGGGCTCCCCTCGATGAGATCCAGACAGGTCTGGTTGTCCTGGTAGTTGACAAATGACCACTCCAGGCCCTCGACTGCATATTCCTCCTAGGGGCAGACATCAGAGGTGGGGTGGGGGCGTGGCAGAAGGCAGCTGTGGACTGAGGGCCAGATGGGCCATCCCTCGGCTGGCCTCAGCACCGCAGCATGTTCCAGAACGGCATCAAAAGAGCTAAAGGCCCTGGTCAGACCCTGGGAGACAGAAGGCAGGACCTCCCAGCCCTCACCTGCTGAGCCCTGAGGTAGTGAGCCACGAAGTGCTGCTGCAGCTTCTCGTTGGCGTAGTTGATGCACAACTGTTCCAGGCTGTTGTGGGGAAACGACTCAAAGCCGTACACATCCAGCAGGCCTGCGAGGAAGGGGAGAACCTGTGGGGCCAGTGCAGGGAGGAGGCGGGGACTGGAGAACCATGGGCGTGCAGGGTGAAGCCTCATACCTGGCAGCCTGGGGACGAGGGTGAGGGAGCATGAACCCCGGCAGTGGGCAGAGCCCCCCACCCCACCCCAGGGCGGCTCCCATCTCCACCTCGCGCCCCGTCAGAACTCAGAGCAGGAAGAGGCTGAATAAGGTGTGAGGGAACCAGGTCCCAGGGGACATTTTCTGCGTTTAACCCAGTTTGGATGGCCTGGGTCTCACCACGCAGTGGGTGCCTAGAATTCTACCATTCTGTGAGCAGATGTCACCAATCCCACTAACCTCTGAGCTTTACGTCCTCCCCCATCTGACTATCCCACCCAGGTTCTGACAAGGCTATCATGCCCCTCAGGCCTCCTCTAATCTAGCCCTTTCTCCCCCTCCCCCAACTCCTCTCCTGAGACCAGAGCTGGGCCTCCAGGGAGAGAAGGGCCCTCATGTCCTGGGCACCACTGAGTCTGCCTGGAGAGCTGCGGACGGTCAGGCGTGGGCACTGGAGGGCACGGAGACCTCGCCCAGACGCCGGTGGACGGGTGAGGAGATGGGTGCAGAGAAGAGAAAGGAGCTGCCCGGAGCAGACCCAGGGTCCTGCCTCTCCGTCCAGGTCCCTCCTGTCCTTTTTCTGAGGGAGGGCTCCGGGAGAGTGAGCCCCTGCTACCTATGAAAGTGGTCCAGGAGGCGGGGTCTGCACAGACGCTGCTGTTGATCACCGACACCAGCCAGTCAAACAGCCTGCAGGGGTTGGGGGAGAGGGGTCAGGCTGACCCTGAGGGGTGGCACAGTTGCCCTTCCAGCCGGGGTGTCACATCTCGGAGGGCCTGTCTTTGGAGCCTGACAGGTGAAGGGCTAAACCCTGTCCTCTGGTTTCCCGCCCATCCTGTCTCCACCCACTGCAGATGCAGGCTGTGGCGGTGCGTGTTCCCGAACACATAGAAATCCGGCCTGCCCCCCAGCAAGACTGAGCACATGACTAACTGCAGCACACCTTGTTTTATGGTGCTTCACTTTATGGTGCCTCCCAGATATATATATTTTTTTAAATAAATTGAAGGTCTGTGGCACACCTGTGTCGGGCAAGTCTATCAGCACCATTTTTCCAACAGTGTTATTTAAAATTAGCTACGTTGTTCTTTTAGACACAAAGCTGTTGCACCTAAGGGACTACAGTAGAGTTAAACATAACTTTTCTATGCACTGAGAAATCAAAAAATTCGTGTGACTCTGGAGCTCAAGGCCGGGCCACATCCCTCCACTCGGTTCTGCACAGGTGGGCCCTGTGTCACCCGAGGTCGACAGTGGTATCCTGCACTCTGGAACCATCGTCCCTGAGATGAGACGGTTGCTGTACAACTTGGTGAAACATACAACACTATGTAAGGGGTTTCTTTCTTTTTCTTTAAGTAATTGCTCTAACTTTTTTCAATTCAGTAAATGGCTTCTATTTTTGCAACAGGGGCTTCAAATACCCATTTGAGGTACTAAAAACGAGTGACCTAGTGATACAGTGACCTGCTTGCCATGTTGGAATGTTCTATGATTAGAGGCTCACTCTGTCTGTGATCATCACACTTTATCTGTTAATTTTGCAATGACTTGACACAAAAGCCTTAAAAATTCTTGGCCTGAAATTCTGTCCTAAAATCAGCTTCAAGGGAGTGGGAACTGAGTCTCTTGCCGAACTGGGTTCAGTCTGGGCCCGGCTGCCCTGGGTCATTTTCAACTCAGAGCATCCCACTCCTTCAGCAGTGCCTCTTAGGCTCTGAGCTCTTTGAGAAGTTCCTGAAAGTAGGGGGACCCCCTCACCAGGTGCCCAATTTCTCATAAGCATATGCGTGCAAGCACACACACACACATACACACGTTCTGTCCTGTCATTTCAGAGAATTCTGGGCCCTGGATACCCTCAATGGCACCCTGAGGGATCTCAGCACGCGGGGTAAGAAACCAGCCTTAACTGCATGGCCAGGGGTGGAGATGCCCACAGAACCATCAGGAAGGGGTCAGGGCCCCTGCCTTCCACCTGCTCTGGGCTCCCATCCGCTGCACAGTGCTGCCCAGGACGGTGGCCTAAGCTCCTGGCTCCATCACCATCTATCAATTCCCCAGGTGACTACGAAGAGTATAGGGGCGGACGGAGACAGAGAAGCCCGTTCACCCACAGGTCTGCGCCTGGAGCTGGGAGGGCCCCACATCACCTCTGGGGCCTGCCGTGCCAGCGGAGAGCTAGGCCACCTCTCAAGGTCAAGGCAGGCTCCTGTACTTTAATAACGAGCTGGATCTAGACCAGGCTGTGGCAACTTTCCCCACAGAGTACTCTGGAATCGAGGCTGAAGGCCTTGCTCGGGGAAAGCCCAGGAGCCACTCCCTGCTGTCCCCAAGGATCCAGGGAGCAGGGAGAGAAACCCGTCTGCTCTATCTGGCAGTCCTCACCCTGGGCCTGGCCTACTGCCTGACGGTGTCTGGTCTAACTCTGGATGGGGGGAGCCCCGGAAGGGCTGGGCCCAGAGTGCTCACCGTGCATAGACCAGTTTGGCCAGACAGTCTCTGCGGGTGTCACATTCGGCCTGGGAGCAGGGCTTCCGGAACACCTGCTGCTGCCTGCCTGCCCTGATGGTTCGAATCCGCAGTGTCTCCAGCAGTGGGTCTTCTGGGAGCCGCAGCAGTAAGGCTGATGTCCTGACAGCGCCTGGGAGGCACAAACACTCTCCGTCCAAACAGCCCTCCACACAAGGCACTGTGGACTCATCAGTGGAACCACGACCCACCCAGTGGGACAGAGTGAACCTAGGTGCTGGTGGGCCTGAGACTCGCCTACGGCAGAGGCAGGACTTGAACTCAGGACTTCTGTGTCTCAGTCCACGCCTCCACTTGTGGGATAAACCGCTTTACAAATCCTCCCACTCTCGTTTTCTTGTCTGTGGATGATGCTGCCTTTCCAGAGACAGGGTGAGGAGTAACTTCCCGAGGGCAAGGCCCTACAGCTGATGGCTTCAGGGGCACATTCCAGATTTCACCCTCTGGCCTCCCTCCCACCCAATCCCACCAAATGTTGGCTCTTTTCTGGGCAGGGCCTGCCTCGCTCCCCAGGTGTCTGCCCAAACCCTGAGCTGCAGGCCCCCTGCCCTCGCCCTCACACTCACCATCATCCATTGGCCGGCAGGGCTGGGCCTCATCCCCAGCGCCAGCAAACCGGATGTTGCCGAGGTGCAGCAGTCCAGCTAGGGCCTGGGGGGCGGAGGCAGAAGACACAAAGTGGGCACCTTCTCAAGGGCTGGAGCCCAGCCTGGGAAAGGTCTGTCTCCTGCTGAGTATAATCGTGATAACAGGATAGTAACGGTAGCTCTCAATTACTGCCCATTTACTCCACGACTTGGCCAGGCATGATTCTACACAAGCTATAGGCATCATCTCGTGCAATCTTTTCAACAAACAAGGAGGCATGTGCTGTGATGATGCCCCTAATAGAGACCAGACGGGGGAGACGTTACATCACAAGCCTGAGGCCACACACTTGGTAAAGGAGAAAGGCGGTTTGAGAAACCGGGCAGTCTGCCTTCAGATCCCTCCTGGCGCAGCCAGGGGGGCCTCCATGTCACCCAGTCTGTCCCTCTGCCTCCCTAGCTCCAGGAGCAGACTGTGTGGGAACGCCGCTCCTGTCCTTTGCGGAACAGGGTCTACCTCTGTGTAACTGGTGGGGGCTTGGCTCTGCTCCCTTAGGCCCTTTCTCAGCACCACTGGGTGTTCAGGCCCAGCCTAGGGGAGGCTCTTTGGTCTTGGTCTCTGTACAGTGGGTGCTCCGGGTGCTCCCTTGCCTTAGCACTCAATGATCCACATGGATGAGCTCCCAGGGCCTGTAGAATAGGGAAACCCTGGGTCCAGCAACTTGGAAACCTTTGGACCCGGTACTGACAGAGCCAGGGTCTCTCCTACCAACCCTGTCTTGTCCCAGAAAGGGTATGTCCACATGCTGTTGCCTTTCAGGCCACAACCCACCTCAGAAGACTGCCATGCCCGATGGGCAGTGTGGCTGGGGCGGAGACTCATGCCACCCCCAAGTCAGCACTCCTGTCTGGACTCCTAGTGCTGTCCACTTGCCCTGGGCTGTCCATGTGCTGTCCCTCTGGCCAAGCTCTTGGCTGGTGGTGACTGTACTGGCTGTGGTCACCCCCTACTGCCTGAGAAGCCCCCATATGGAGGTGGGGGTTACTTTGCACTGCACTGCCATTTCCCTGCAGTGGCGTCCCTGTCTCTGCTGCCAGCCCATCCTATAGATCCCCTCCTGCTGGTCTGCAGGGGAGGTGGTGAGTGGGGAGCCAAAGACAAATGGGAGAAGGGAGCCCATAGTGGGGATGACTGAGGCCCGGGGCCTGGCTCGCCTGGGTCAGCACTGGGTCCCAAGAGGAGGGAGGGGAAGGCAGCAAGTCGGAATCCCTACATCCAGCACGAACACTCTCTGTACAACTTAGTACTGCTGGCCACAGGCAGGGCTCTAGTGTTCTCCAGCATAACATGGGAGTAATCTCCACACCCATAGGGCTGCTGAAAAAGCCAAGTGAGCTAAGAGGTGAGCTAAGAACGTGATTTAAAAATTTTAACGCACTAGACAAACACATGGCAGCATTACTTTTCTATTCTGATGACTGCAGTAGTAACTGACCCAGGCACCTTGCCCTCCGACCGCCGTGGATCACTGTGCTAGTCTATTCTATAGCACTATGTGCTCTGTCATTGTTCTCTATGCCCTGTCTACCCTGACACCTTGTCTCCAGGCTCAGCTGCACAGACAGGTGGTTGACTCCTTGGAGATTGTGCAGCGGGGCCTAAAGTCCTAGATCCTCAAGAAAAGACACTGACGAGTTGAGAGTAGGGCTCTATGAAAGGGGCTGCCCATCACCGCTGCCACATGTAAGTGGTGTGGCTTTTCCTCTGACCTGAAAGATGTTGTTCTGGGTGGGGGCATCGACGCCCAAATGAAGCATGGCCTCCCTGGTCACTTCGAAACAATCCTCTGAAAAGGAATCCAAGTCACAGCCCAGTGTCAGGACCAGTGGTAATATGGGGCGGGGGGCAGTGAGGGATGAGACAGGCAGGCCTTGGTGGGATGGGTGGGTGCTGCTGGCCCAGCCCAGGGTGCTGGGTAAGGCTCCCCATACCTTCCAAGGTCCTCTCTGGGTTGGGCAGCCAGGAGAAGGCAGCTCCCTCGGGGAGGTGCCACTGGAGCCTCTCGTCCGAACTGGCTCCTTTGCAGATCTGTGGGAGTCGGGGCAGGGGGCTGAGCTGGGGGTTCTGGGGAAGCCTGGGCCTGCACAAGCCTGGGTCTGGGATGAGAGCAGTGAGGAACGGCAGCAGCACCACAAGGCTAAGAGGTCCTTGTAGAGAGCCCAGGGCAGGCCCAGGGGCAAAAGCAGCAGGCAACAGTTCTGGGTGTCTCCAACCCAGTGCAAAAACTCATGGAGGGGGCCTGTTGTCTGATAAAGGAAGCACAACTCTGTCTGGGGAGCCCCTAGTCCCAGTCTGAGAGCAGGAGGACATACCATCCATGCCTTGGGGGACCCCTAGTCTGATGGAGGAGGCACTGTCTAGGGAAGTCCGTGCTCTGTTGGGGGAGACAGTTGCCATCTGAGGACAGCCCTGTCTGAGGGTGACAGCTTCCACTGTAGAGACAGTCTGATCACATAGAGAAGGCAAGCACATCCCCACGCCAAAACCATCCCAGGGGGCAAGGTCCAGTGTGGCAGAAGTGTCACATACAGTTTGCAGGAATAGGGGCTGGCATCACTGAGCACCAGGCGAAGAGGCAGACACGAAGCAAGGCGGGGAGGGGAAGACAGAGGCACAGACCCATCTCCGCCCTGCATCTGGGCAGCTGCAGGCCCTGCCTGGTACAGACCTGATAGAAGATGTGGAAGTTCCTCTCAGTGGAGTCCTGGCAGGCCACTCGAGTTTTCTCTAGGAGGTAGGTCTGAATTGCAGCTCCGGTCATCTGGTGGTCCCTGGGCACAAGCAGGCTGGAGCCCATTAGCTGTTCATTCCATAGTCATTGGGCACTTCCTGTGTGCCAGGCTGCAGCCTCCCCTCAAGCTCTTCTACTTAGTCAACAGGGGTCAAGAGGACCAGGGACAACTCAGCAGGTCCTTGGCAAGAGGCGGGGGGGGGGAGGGGGTCCTGCAACCAGCTTAAGAGGGCAGAACCAAGGCCTCTGTACATCACTGTGCCCCATCCCAAGACCAGATCAGAAGCCCTAGCTTCAAGGTCAGAGGTGTGGCCCAGAGAGGTGGCAGTTTAACTAGAAGTCTCTGAGCAAAAGTGGAAGCCAGAACACACAGGCTGTGACAAGCATACTACCAGGGATCCTAAGGCCAGACGGAGTAGCTGTAGTTCTCCGGGTTTGAAGAACACCCTCCAGTTCACTTATCCCACATGCAAACATGCTAAGAGGAGCTGGGTTCTGCCCACAGGGGTGGCCCAGGCTGGAGACTGCCCTAGGCACTTTCAACCTCCCCACGCCCGCATCAGCCAGGGCGGCAGCAGCAATTACCTGTTCAGCTGGAGTTGGATGAACTTCCCAAAGCGGCTACTGTTGTTGTTCCTCAAGGTGCACGCATTCCCTACAGACCACACCCACGTTCACAGTGTCCTCATGGGCCAAGGTGGCTACGGGTCTGCTGGGGCCATGCCTCTACCCTCAAGTCACCTAAAGGCCCCTTTGTTGGTTTCCATGTCACAGGGGACAGGACTAGGGCAAGTGTGATCCAGTACAGCTAGAGCTGCCTGGTAATGAATTGGAATGAGCAAATTCAGGCAGTCAGGGACTGTTTTCTTCGAAGGGAAGAGATCAAAAACAAGCTGTTACTACTGAGGCAGACAGCAAAACGCAACACCTAGAGTACCAACGTGGACACTACCTGTGCATCCTTGGACAAGTCTCCTTCTCGGAACCATCAGGAAACTGTTCAGAAGGATGGGATTTGAACTGGGAGAGCCACAGGGTCCTCCCCAGCACCACTGCTACATCTGCTTAGGCTAAAGAAGGGGCTGACAGAGGGACACCACCTCTAGTGGAAGGATGCTACGGGCACCTGGGAGGAGGCTGGGGATCTAAGGCAGTGAGTGATACACTATCTTCCGATCCCAAGAGAGACTGCTCCTCTCCCTGGAAGGTGACAAACCCCAGAGGAAATGGGACAAAGGTGCTGTGCAGAGGACACCAAGCTCACCAAAAGCTTCCATGACAGGGTTAGAGTTCAAGATTCGCTGTTCAATCCTCTCTGCAATCTTGTGGCTCTCCCAGGACGTGGGCGAGGCGGCCACCACAGCGTAGAACTTCATCAGGCAGCGGGACGTCCATGTCTGCGGCAGAAACGGTCCTGTGGGAGCTGTGTCCCTGTTCCCTCCCACTTCTGGGCCTGCCCAAGGGAATGGCGCCCACCAGCGCCCTCTTCTCCGCCATTTGTGTTGCTGACCAAGGGGTGACCACTGAATTCAACTGTGTCCTTGGGTGAGGCACTTCTCCTATCTGTGAAATGGGGATGCTTTCTTCTGCTTCTCCCAGCCTCTAGATGCATTTAAGAAAAGAGAGGGGCTGGGGTAGAGAAGGGAACCCACTGTGACCTTCTGATCTAAGCAGGCTACTCAGTGTCTCTGAGGCTCTCAGCTAATACTGATTACCCTGTGGCAGGTGCTGAGCTAAGGACACTTTCTATGCACTTTCTTACTAACTCTACAGATGCAGGTGCAATTACATACTACCCATTTTCAAAATGATGAAACTGAGGCATAGAAAAAATTCAAATTTTAGTGAAGATTACATTTCTAATAAATGATAAGGCTCTGATTTCAACCCAGGCAATCTAATTATAAAATTCTGCTTTGTTTTTAATCAGCTGAGAGGTCTCTTTTCATTTTATTTCCACTTGTTCGTTGCTAAGACAGAGAAACACAATTAATTTCTATATATTGGACTCTATCCTATTACCCGATAAATTCTCTACACCTCACAACTTTTTAGGTGTAGCTCTTTTGGTAAATTCTTTGAGGTCTTTCTCTGAGGTGGGAGGTGTTCCCTCTCTTCTATTTTCTGAAAAGAATCTGTACAGAATTGGTAACATTACTTCCTTAAATACCAGGTAGAATCCACAGAGTGAAGCTACCTGGGCCTGGAGCTTTCTACGAGAAAAGGTTTTTAACTATGACTTAAACCTCTTTCATATACTTAGATATTCAGGTTATATATTTCTTCTTGTGTGAGCTTCAGCAGTTTGTGTATTTCAAAATATTTCTCCTTTTCATTAAATTGTAGAATTTATTGATAAAGTTAATAAAATCTCTCATCTATAGGACCTTTAGTGATGTCTATTCTTTTATTTTCTGACATTCATAATTTGTCTTTTTCTCTCTTTAAATTTAACTAGTGGGTTATTAATTTTATTAATCTTCTAAAAGAGTTATTGATTTCACTTACTTTATTATTTTTGTTTCTATTTTACCGTCTTTTTGTCCACTTTATTTTCTTCTTCTGCTTACTTTGGTTTTACTTTATTCTTTTTTCCTCTTAAATAAGCAGAAGCTCAAAGCAATGACTTGAGTTTATTCTTTTCTAATATAAGCATCTAACACTACAATAAATTTCCCTTTAGGCACTGCTTTTTCTTTAAGCACAAATTTTGATATGTTGTGCTTTCATTTTCATGCAATTCAAAGTGTTTTCTAATATCCCTTGTGATTACTTCTTTGACCCACAGGATACTTAGAAGGGTGTTAATTTCCAAGTGCTTTGGGATTTTCCAGGTATCTTTGTTATTTATTTCTAGTTCAGTTCTACTTGGGATGGGAACATAGTTTGTATCTTAATCTTTTCAGACAGATTTGTTTTGTGGCTCAGAAGACAGTCCATATTGGTGAATGTTACACTTGAGTTCCATGTGTACTCAAAAAAATATGCAAATCTCAAACTATTAATTTTGATTTTATTTACTTCTCCTTTCAATTGTTTTTTTGCTTTGTGTATTAATGTATAGTTACTTCTGCTTTCCTTTGATAAGTGTTGGAATGGTGTATCTTTTCCCATTCTCTTCCTTTGAACATATCTATGTCTTTACAGTGGGTTTCTTAAAGACATCATACAACGTAAGTTTTGCCTTTTAAAAGAAATCCAATTCTGTCTTTAATTGGAGAGTTTAGTCCATTTACATTTAATGTAATAATCACGATGGCTGGATTTAAATCCATCATCTCATTATTTCTTCTTTCTTTTTATTTTTGGGGGAGGGTGGTAATAAGGTTTGTTTGTTTGTTTGTTTTTTATTTTTAATGGAGGTGCTGGGGATTGAACCCAGGACCTTGTGCATGCTAAGCATGCACTCTACCACTGACCTATACTCTCCCCCTATTTCTTTTTGATTTGTTCCATGTCATTTTTGGTATTTTTTCCTTCTTTTAAATGAAAATGGTTGAATTTAGTACTTTCATCATTCCATTGTGTCTCTATGGTAGATTATTACTATTTTTGTCTTGAAGTGAGTTATCTTTTAAAGATACATGAAAAATAAGATCTTACATTTTCAATGCTCTTTATTTCTTTTTATCAATCTAAATATTCACCTGGTTTCATATTCCTTTGTCCTAAAGAAATTCCTCTAATATTTCTTGTAGTATAGATCTGCTGGCAATGAATTTCTCAACTTTTGTCTGAAAAAATCTTTACTTCACTTTTATTTTGGAAAGATATTTTTGATGGTAACAGAATTCTAGGCTGACATTTTCTTTTGGCACTTTAAAGATGTCACTGTATTATCTTTGGGCTTGCAATTTTTGACAAGATGCTGGTTATCTGATCTTTACTTCTCTTTATGTATGTTTTTCTTGGCTTCCTTTAAGATTTTTTACTTATGTTTCGTTTTTCAGCAATTTGACTATAATGTGCCTAGATGTATTTTCTTTGTATTCATCTTGCTTAGTGTTTCCTGGACTTCTAGGATCTGTGCCTGCCATCTTTTGTTTATTTTCTAAGATATTACTTCTCACTAACATTCTCTCTTTTCTCCTGGGACACTAATTACAAGTATGGTAAACCACCTGATACTGTACAAAAGCCCTTAGATGCACTTTGTTTTTCAATTTTCTCTCTGTTTTTTCATTTCTATTGACCCATTCTCAAGTTCATTGATGTATTCTGAATGTCTAGTCTGCTGATAAGCATGAAGGAGCTGTTTGTGTTTTTAATGTTTATCATTTCCACTTAACTATAGTTTCTACCCCTCTAATGATGAGATTCGAAGAAACTCTTCTGGTCCCACAAGTTTAGGAAGCTACCGATAGTGAGACTTCCTATCCATAAACATAAAAGATTCTGATCAGTTGCTTAATGTCTTATTCTTAAGTACGAATAGAAATTCAAGAATAATAACTATCTGATAAACTAAATGAATGACAAATATCACAAACAAAGGGAGAAAAAGAACTAGGAGGAAGTAGAAATAAATTTTGGAAACAGAAATGAGAGGAGCAGAAGATAAGCAAAAATCATGAAATATTCTCAAAGATAATGAACCTCTGAGATAAGACCAGGTTGCTGGGGGGGAATTCAGGGGACAAAAAGCAACTCTTAGAAATCAAAATTCAAAACAACTGAAGGGTAGAGAATATCTCCCAGAAGACAGAACCAAATATAGAATAGGGGAGAAAAATAAGGATACTTTCTAGGCAATTAATTAAACTTTCTACCAATAGGAGTTCCAGAAAGGAACAAGGGGAGTAAATTATTCAATTATTAGATACAATACAAAAATATTTTCACACACAAAAGGACATGAGTTTCAAGGTTCAAAAGACCCATAATAGCTCACAGCGAAAAAAAAAATGCGACAATGAATATATGTATGTCCGTGTATAACTGAAAAATTGTGCTCTACACTGGAAATTGACACAACATTGTAAAATGACTATAACTCAAAAAAAAAAGGTAAAAAAACAAAACAAAACAAAACCATAAAAAGTATCCAGCATAAGCAAATGAGAAAAGACCATATCAAGACACGTCACTATGAATTTTAACACCTACGGATAAAAAAGATGACCCTAAAAATTTTTGGATAGAAAACACAAATCACCATTTATGGACTGGGACTCTCAACAGAATATATAAGGAAATAACTTCTAAATATGGGAAGAAAATTATTTCCAACTTGAAATGATAAAGTCCTGCCAACATATCAAATTAAGGCAGAATAAACATTGTCAGATATGCAATAACTCAAAATATGCTCTCCATGTAACCTTTGTCAGGAAGCTACTATGCTTCATAAAAACAAGGCAGTGAAGGAAGAAGACGAAGCCTCTGCACTCCAACAACAGGAGATTTATCACAGGACAGATGGCAATCTGGATCCCCAGAGCCAGGCAGACAGCTCCCAGGTAAGAGCTGTGTGGCAGCAGCCCTTGGCAGCCACCAGTCCAGATGGGAGCAGGAGATGTGAGGGCGCTAGGAAGGGCGTCACCAAGAACAAAGAGTACCTGATATACTTGCCGGTTGGGTAGGTGGTGTCCAGTTTTGGTGACAAGTTTGATGATGAATTAATAATAGGTATACAGAAACTGAACAAGTGAAAAATGGGGGCAATTATTAAGTACAGGGAAAGTGAAAATTGTACAAGAAGGGAAATATAATCATAGTATATTACACGGCTCTGCCGTGAACAACACATACATGGTTGTTAATACGAAGAACTTACCTAGAAACTGACATAATTACATTATGTATTTGGGGCCAGGGAAACAGGGCTAAATCCTCATCAAAGTAGGAAATTAACAGATAAGGTCCAAAAGTGAAACATCAATAACTAATAAAAGAGGCATGTTGTTTAGAAATATGGATGCAGGCACCCAAACTGCTAGAATGTGTGAAAGTAGTTGCCTCTGGAGAGAGGGAATAGGGTTGAGACGTATGGGGCAGGGTTGCTGTTTTTCTTTGTAAGCCTTTGTAGTATTGCTTGATTTTTGAACCACGTAGCTATATTACTATTTATTAAAAATAAATTTTAAAAAGATACCACACCCAGCCTCAGCTCCCCAGGGAAATTCTGGGGGACAGTGGGCTTTGGCCAGGAGGTGGGGACTGGCTACCTTGATACAGCTCTCAGAGATCCCTTCCTCACCCACATCCTAGCCCTTACCACTACAGCATGCTGCTTTCATTTGTTTCCTTGTCTTTCTCAGGGGCCTAAGATCCCCCGGAAAGCCGGATGCTGCATTGTCATCCCTGTCCCCGCCCTGTGCCGCTCCTTACTGGCTAGCCTGGGGCCTAGAACTTGGCAGGTGCTCAGTGCTCAGCACTGCTCTCACGGGTGCGTGTAGGCAGAAAGGGTTTATGGTCCAAAGAATCCCTTGTGAAGGTAACGTTGAGGAAAGGGTGGGGCGGCTGGTGAGCCTTGGCAAGAAGGTGGCAAAGCCTGGGCCAGTGGCCTCCCCTGACCAGCTGTGCATCCTTGTACAATTCTGTCTCACCTGTAGTGGTTTTGCCGCCTGGGACCACATGACCACACCAGGAACTTCTGTCCTTCCTCACAGTCGGCCCAATGCACTGCCCTTGCCATTGAGGGCAACCCAGAGGTACAGGTGGTCTACATCCCAAAAAATCCTCTCCTTTTGAAGGAGTGGGGCCATATGCTAAGCATGCCACCAAGTGCCTTCTGTGCACTGGTTCATTTAATTCTCACAGAAGTCCCAGGAGTTAGGTGTTGGCCGTTCCTGCCCTATCACTTCACAGGTGAAAGAACTGAGGTTTGTAGAAGCTAAACATCTTTCAATGTGCTCTTAATCACCATGCTGGTACCCCCAACAGCTGACTTTTGTTTCCAGTGGTGTCAGAGCTGGGAGAGCCCTTCAATGAGAAAACGAAGGCTTAGACAGGAAAGTATCTCACCCAGGGTTACAGCAGAGCCGGTGGAAGAGCCCGGACAAAAACCCTGCCTCCTGAATTCCTGCCCAGTGCATACCCACTGACTCCCGGCTTAAGCCAGCCTATCTGGGAAGGACTAGGCAGCAAATGGCTCCTCGAGGAGTAACGCCCCCTGCCCCTCTGCTCGTCCAGCTAGTCGCGAAGCTGACAGGGTGGGAAAGAGGTCCTCCTACCTTCCCAGCACCGCTCTCTCCACTGACGACAATAGACTGGTTGACTGGCTCAATCAGGCTCCTGACATTCCTGTAGGTCTGTTCACCCACAGTGAAGATGTGGGGCTTCAGTTTCTGAAACATCAAGGGGTGAAAGGTCACATGAGAGAACACCTGTCTTCAAGGAGTGATTGATCTAATGACAGCTGAGATGGGGAGGTTGACAACAGTAGTCCCAGAAGGCTTCCTCTAGAAAAATTTCCTGCAAGTAACAATGTGAGGCCCAACTGTGGGATCCCCACGGTGGTTTTATCCATTCATCTTCTCTCAGTCTGGAAGCAGTGCTGGCCTTGCCCAGTCTATGACATTAACACTTTATCCTCCCATCTTCATAGTTTTATTCTATTTATTATTTTATGTAATTGTACTTCACAAGAACTTTGCCTAAGAAGTCTGTGCATTAGTGGAATAGCTAACCCTGTTTTATAGTTGAGTTTCAGAGGGGTTAAATAACCTTATCAAGGCCATTCAGCAAAAAAATGCATCCATGTGACTTAATTCCAAAGTCTCCGTTCTCCTTTCCATCAACAAATATTAATTGTCCTCAATGTGCTGGGCCCTGAGGAAACAGAGGGGACCATGACATGGCTTTACCTTTGAGGAGACAGACAGTCAGTAATCTATGGGCTCTCAGATCTCCCCTGGCTCCCACTCAAACACTAACCATGCATGAGCCAGGCCACCTGCACAAAGCCAAGCCAGCCCAGCACCCCCCAGCCAGGACTGAACACTTACCCACGGCTTCTTGAAGGGAGAAAGCATCATTCTGGGTGGTGTCAGAACCTTCCCTCTCTCCTCCTGCCCTCGCCCCATCCACCTCTCACCTGGACTGTTACAAAGCCTCCAACTGTTCTCCCTGTCTCCTGTCTCACCTTCCTGAACCCAGCTCCCCCAGCTTCCAGAGTAATTATCTCACCCCAGGTGAAGAAGCTTTCTGGACCCTCCTCCTGCCTTGCTTCTCCCTGTTTTTTAACATCAGCTAGTCCATTCCCTGGCTGCACCAGTCCCGTAGCCACCCCCATAAGAAGTTATTCCTCGTTCCTGTCAGTGGGGATGAACATGCGAATTTTCTAGGGAAATCCTTATTTCATGTAATTTTATTCTTTTCTAAAAAAGTGGTTTGGTAAATACACAAATGTCCTCTTGTAAGTCCTTTCCTATTAATAAGTTGACAAACAAGAAAAAAAAATCATCTCTCCTATGTCCCTATTTTAGGTTCCAAAATCAGCTGAACAAGTATTTCTTTATCTTCCACTATGCACCTACTGTTATGCATCCAAAATTCTGTGAGCTCCTGGTGGGCAGAGCCATGGCACCAGCCAACTGTGCAGGACTGCATGGCCGGTGAATACATGGATAAGGACTAGGAAGCTACAAGGTGGCCTACAGGAGGAGGGGGAGCCCTGAGGCCACAGGAAACAGCTGTGTCTTACCTGGGGCTGAGGAGCAGCATGGTACTCTCTCATCAGCTCTGGCGAGTAGAGCTGAGGGACGTGCTTGAAGGGGTTCAGAGCCACCAGGGTGCAGCCAGCATTGGTGTAGAACGTGTCAGCTGTGTACCGGGCCTGCAGACACCTCAGGACTGAGGCAGAGGTGCCTTTAGCAGACTCTGGCTCAAACGGAGACATAACTGCATATTCAGACAAACATCCGCCCAACAGTGCTCCCTCTGCAATTAGCCAAGTGCCACAAGATCTAATTAAGATGAGCCCCACATCTGGAGCAAAGCCTCTGCTAAGGAGCCTGGGGGCGGCTGCCAGGCAGAGGTCTGCCCCTCTGGCTCCAGGTCAGGAGTCCTGCCTGCCTCCGCCTGGCCAGGGGCAGCGGTGTTGAATACCCTCATCACACCTCCACGCTCTTGGAGACCACACACTCGAGGAGGGGGTGTCCGTACCTGTCTCCAGCGTCACAGGATTCACCTTGGTGAGGTCATCCAGCTGGTGCAGCGGGACCTCCCCACCCAGGAACTCCTGCAGGTCTTCTCTGAGGGATTCCCTGCCTTGGGCATCAGAGCCTGAACTGTGGCCATTAACCTAGGAGGGAATAACAGGACCAGGAGAGCTGAGGCTCAGGCCAGCTGGTAGCTATGAAAGGTTGGGGCCTGTAGAGTAGAAAGAGAACAGGCCTCTAGTATCATAGTCTGGATGTTCGAATTTCAGCTCTGCCCCCTTCTAGACCTATGAGCTTGTATAAGTTTCTTAACCTCTCTGAGCCACAGTTTCTTAATTTATAAATAAAGGAAAATAAAACCAACTCATAGGGCTGTTAGGAAGAAAAATAAGGAGAGATACACAAAGCAGTTAGTGCCTGGCACACGGCAGGCACTCAGCAAATGAATAAATGCTATCGTCTCTCCCTGCCATGAGTTCCAGCCTCCAGCCTGGCCAGCTACCAGCCTTACTGGGGCCCAAGGCGGGGGGCTGCTGCAGGAGTCTTACAAAGGAAAAGAACAATGATTTGGACCTCTTTTGAAAGAGACTATTCAGCCTGAGATGAAAAATCAGCTGTGAGGTAGCCCCATGCCTTCATCATCTGCCTCTGGGGCTTAAATTTAGTCTAGCTGATTAATTAGCTCCTGCTGCCCTGGTCTACTTGAGAGGAAGCCTGGCTCAGAAGTCAGATGAGGTCAAGAACGAGCACCAAGGGGAAAGGCCCTTTCCCCCTCGCCCATCCTCAGTGCCAACATTTTTCACGTTTCCTCTCCCCATTTTCCTCCCATGATCCCATTTCTCCTCTTCCCTCCCTGGGGACTGCAGGGAAGATGGTGTGAGGAGTAGGAGAAGACAGGAATAACCTGGCTGAAATCTGCTTTTGGAGGAAGGGGTCTGTGATATAACATGTGTGGGTTTCCAATGAGACGAATGAACCTTAAAGTTCAAACCTCTCCAGCTAAAGTGGCAAGTGTCATCTGAGAGGCTCAGTAATAGTTTCTTTCCAAAGGTATTGCCTGTTCTTTGAACTTGGGCCCACCATAACGCACAAGGCAGGCTCTTGACCTCCATGCTGAGTATGGAGGCAAATCCCTCCGTCCTAGGGGTAAAAAGGAAATCAGCCACAAACCCAGCCATAATTTATGAGCAGCTCTGATCCAACCAGAGAGGCAGCTGAATATAATGGCCCTTGACCCAGAACTGAAAGCTAGATTGTCAGGGTTAGAATCTTGATTCTACCACTTCCTAGTCGTATAACCTTATGTAAGTTTCCTAATCTCTTTGTGCCTCAATTTTCCTCATCTGTAAAATGGGAGTGGAGGTAGGACCTACCTCATAGATACTGATAAGCACACAAGGTATTTAGAAAAGGCATCTGGTATTTGCCACCAAAAGTTAGCTATTACTAGTTATTCTATTAAAAGCAGCTCTTCTAATTAGACAATAATATATCAAGGGCCTTAAAACTATATGTGCTTTCAACCTGCAATTCTGCTTCTAGAAAATAATCCTGTGTAATGGCCATAAGAATGTTCACTGTACATAGAAACACTTATAATTGTAGAACAATTGAAAACAACCCAAATGTCCAAACAGTGGCTTAAATTATAGTACATTCTTACTATAGAATAAAGCAGTTACAAAAAGTATCTTTAAATGTTTTAAAAATACACATTTAGAGAAAAAGATCTAGGATATTCTCTAAAACGTTGGTTATCTCTGGGTAGTACAATCATGGGTAATTTTAATGTTCTTTTTGCTTATTTATATTTTCCACATTGCTTATGATGAATGTGACCTTGAATAAGTCACTTAACTTCTCTGAGCCTTATCTCCGAAATGGGAACGTAGCCGCACTGCACATACAACGCTGTATCTTTCTCAAGGACTAAACAAAGCTATACGTGTAAAATGATTAATATAATGCCTACTACATAGCAGGGCTCAACATGGAGCAGCTGCTAGAACACTTATGATGAAAACTACTGCTTTTTTCATAAGAAAAGAAATAAACTAAAAATGGATAATAAAAAAGCCCAGAGCAGACAACTGCCCTGTTTGCTTCTCTCCAGCCTCTAGCCTGTTTCACGAGCCAAAAGGCGGGGAGAAGGTCACGCAGCAGTGTTGACCGTGGCTCCCTTGAGGCTGGATGACCTCACACTCAGTCATCCTGTCTTACCTGCCTTCTCCCCTAGACCGTGAGTTCCTTGAGGGCAGGTTATCATCTGAAACATCTGCCTCAGCGCCAGGGGGAACACTCAATAAATAAAAACTCAGCAAGTATCTCCTGGTTTCTCTTGGGGCCAAGAGCTGCATGTGAAGGATGATATGGGTATGAGATGCAGCTCCACAGTAGAGGGTGATTTGGAATCCTGCAGGCCTGGGGCCATAGGAGACTTTCCAGAGGGGCAGAGGTCTGGAGTAAGGGCAGGTTTCATGTCCCAGTAGCAACCCCCCATGCACCCCATGATCCATTCAGTGGAATCCTTGCGTATTTCCACATAGGTCAGCTTCCACATTTTTGCACAGGCTGATCTCTTTGCCTGGACTGCTTATTTTCCTTCTTTACTTGGATAACTCCTACTTGTCCTTTAAGGCTCAGCCTCAAGGAACATCTCCTCTTGGAAGCCCCAGACTTCCACTTGCTTTAATAACTCAGGCTGCAAGGGACATCTCTCAGGGCTCCCTCACTAGTTCAGACCTGTAAGGTCACCAAAATGCCCTTAGGATGCCCTTACACATCCCAGGAAGAGGAGATAAAAACCACAATAGGAGAGATTCAAATCAGGTATCAGGAAGAGCTTCCTGGTGACAGGTGAAAGGCATTGGAGTGACTGTGTGAAAAGAGAAAGAAAGATCTTAAAATGGTCTTTCCTTCCAGGTTAGGGTAGTGGAAGCTTCATCTGGGCAAGTGAAAGATGCAGAGGTGCTTCAGGTGCTTGAGGGCCTGGGTTGTCTAAGGGTGGGCAGACTTTACCTGCTGGAGCATCCTGCTTCAATGCGGTCAGCCAGGGTTCTGGGTTGCAGGCACCAGGAGCTGCTGTCCACCTGGTCATGGGGGCACAGGCTCGGGCATGGGTCCAGCAAAGGGCTCAGTTCTCAAGGAATCTCTGAGACAAGTCACCCTAGAGCCTGTGGCATGAGAGAGAAGACCAAGGCCAGACACAGGTGAGGGCTTCTCCAGGGTGACTCACTCACTCTCCTCCCACCAGGCAGGAGGAACCAAAATGAGGATCAGGGCGAGCCTCAGCAGAGAGGGAGAGTTTGTCCCGCCCTCTACCAATTAGGGAGCAGGAAAAACTTTTATGAGCGCCTCCTTGAGGCTCCCTGCGCTCCTCCAGGGCAACTTTTACTACAGGGGTTTGGGGTGGGGCCGCAAATCTTCTGGGTCAGTGTGCCATGGAGGATGAGGACTGTGGAAGACAGAGAAGCCTCATGCTCCATCCTCTCCAGTAGACAGAAATATCCTATCTTAGTGTAGCCAGTAGTCCATGGGGCGGGGAGGCTGGAGTCAACTCCTGATGTTCCAGGAAGGCTGCTGGGTGGGAGGGGAATCACAGCTCAGTCCTTCACTGGTAAGCCACCTTGTCTCCCTGGCCCACCTTGATTCCTCATCTTGAAAATGGGGATAGTAAAAGCTACCTCACAAGGAGAGGTTGTGAAGGTCAATGAGGTCATAGATTGAAAGTACCTGACAAAGTACAAATCTGAATTCTCACTCAGAGGGAGAATATTGTTGGTACTGTCACTAAGAAGGGATAACCCATTCGGAGGCACTAATCAGGTGGAACAGTCCAGTGTCAATTTTAACAAAGTGAAGATTTCAGAGAGGGGGTACTGTGAGGCCCTAGGCCTGTCTCTGAAAAACTGTGACTCTCAGATTCAGAATTACCCAGGTTTCACACTTCCCCAACAAGAAGGGATGAGGACGAGGGATGTCTGTAATGGACTGACCTTGGTAGAGACTTTCTTGAGATTCTGAATACATCTAGCCTTTGAAAGAATTCAGGGATAGGGACTTTCATGGAAACTGGAAAAAGGACAATTCAGGCAGAGGAGGGAATCAGGACTGTGTTGGACACATTCACCCTGGACAAGGGACTGCCATGTAAAAGGTTCCCAAGACTCAAGGCCAACAAAGCTCCCTCAACTGGAAACTGATTTAAGACAGAGGACCAGAGGGGGAGCATAACAGATTGTGGGGTTAGAATCCAAAGCCCACAAGCCCTAAAACACAGTTCACAAGAGCTCTCTAAACCTTATTCCGTTTCTTCGTTTGCAAAAAGGACTACCAATATCCAGACCTCACAGCGCTGAGTTAAGGATCAAATGGGGTGGCAGTACCTCTGAGAGCGCTTTGCAAATGTTGGTTTATTACGATGCAGGGTCCACTTCCAGCCAGAATCAACTAATTAGAGCAGTTTTCTCCAGTTCTCCTAGCTCTTGCTCCCTGTCGGCTTCGCGGTTACAAGCCAAGAATTTCTGGAAAGGGTGTGAAGGGTGTAACTACTGTGGGCTGGAGGGAGACGGTAATGAATAGATGAAACACCTAGCCAAGGCAAGGCAAGCAGCAACCTGATCATCAGTTCCTCCCACCCTTCCTCCCATTCCCCTCCGACCCCTTCCCCCCAGCTTCAGGTTCTTTCTCGGCTCAGAGGACAGTGAGAGGACAGACGAGAAGAGCAGGGTAAGGGTCCTGGGAGGCCTGCCGGCCTCGCCCCCAGATTACCGGCGGGAACCGGGCACTCCTAGTCCGGCGCGGTGTGCGGCGGACCCAGGGCTGGGATGCCGCTCGGAAGCAGCTGGCACGGGGAGGGTTTGTCCTTCCCGGGAAGGTGGACGTGACCCCAGCCAAGGGCGCGGTTGTCCTATTGCCTCCCCGGGCCAGCTGCCCCTTCCTGGGTACCTAGGTAAGGAGAATGGAGGAGCTGGGGCCAGGATCTCCCCCACCTCGGGCCGCCCCCTGCCGGCACAGTGACCGTGAAAGGTCCTTGTTCTGGAAAAGGCAAAAAGCTGGGCTACCTCCTCCTGGGATACGAGAGGGTCAAAAAGAAAAAAGCAGAGGGAAGGGAAACGGCGCTTCGGAAAGGGGAGGGAGAGGCTCCCCCTTCTTCCTTAGCGCTCCGGGGACCCACCGGCCTCTCCGGCTCCTTCGTGCTCGTGAAGGGCTTCGGACCTGGCTGGAGGTGGCACTCACCGGTCCCACGGCTTGAGCCGCCAAGCGTGCGGCCCCCGCCGGGCCCGACTGGAAAGGCAGACGGGCGAGCCGGGTGAGGCGGCGGGAAGAGCCCGGGAGAAGAGGGCGGAGGGAAGGGCGTGAGCCAGCCCCGGAGGAGAGAAAGCCGAAAATTGCGGAGCACACCCGCCGGCTGCGGCTCTGACCACATGGCCAGGAGCCCGCCGGCTCCTCCCCTGGGGCGGGGCGCACGTGGCCCGCCCGGGACGCCGGGATCCAGAGTTGGGGGCTCGATCCCGGACAAAGTATCTTGAGATCCTGGAGTCAGATGGGGGAAGGGGACCAAGAGTGGGGACTTCTGGGTCTCCGGGCCCTCACGGGGCCGTGGGTCGCTCAGTAGGGAAACCAGGCCCCCGGACCCAGCCACTGACCGGGCCTCGCCGTGGGGTCTGAGGGCCAGTGGTGAGGTTCGGGACCCGCCTTTTCCGCTCAGGCTCCTCTGGCTGACCTGCCCACGGCCGCGACCCGAGAGGACCCAACCTGGGCAAGCCCATGGCAGGGAAGGACGCGCGTGGGGAGCCTCCTGGGCGGGGACAGCTGTCCCGGAAGCGCAGCCCTCCGGGCGCCAGCCGGAAGCGCCGCTCCGGAGGCGGAAACGCCTGGCTTCCGCGTGGCCGGCGGGTGCGGTGGGATCCCCGCGGCCCGGCCCACTTAAACTTCCCCGTGCGGAGGGGGCGCCAAGACCACCAGGAGCGCGTGAGGTATAAGGGCCCGCGCGGCCGGCGCTTGTGTCTGTCAGGAAAAAGCCTCTTTTAAAGGCCAACCGATTTGAATCGGCTTATTCCCGGGAGGTATTGTTGCTGGGCCCAGAAAGGCCACCACGCATGCATGCGTTCTTTTATTCAGTATGGTTCTCGTTTGGCCAACAGATGTGTTCTTCTGTGCCACTTTTTAGACATTCATATGTAGCAGAGAGGTGTTTTATATCCCTTTAAAACAACTGACACTTTTATGTACCGTTCGGGCCTCTACTCTACGATTAGCATCCATTCTACCTACCGACATTTTAACCTGTAAATGAGATAAGGAGCAGCCTGGGGCTCAGATCACTGGAGGGGCTCAGATTTTGTACTAGGGGCAACAGGTTCGGAGAGGCTCTAAATAGAAACCAAGGCCCCCAGCTCCAAAGTGTACCTAATACGTTTTTCCCTATCCCGCTGCTGCTTTTTGAGACTTGACTCTAAATCATGTTAGGTATATTAAATTTTCATTATATTATCTTCATGTCATATATAATGCTCTGTAACAGGAATTCCTGTCCTACTATGATTCCATTATCTATTTCACTTTCTTTTGTGAGTCTGCTTTAGAATAGCTAAAGCTTTTAACTGATCATTTCATACTACTTGTGTGATATCCTTACCCTCATGTGTTAGTGTTAGACTTATTCCAACAATACTTGGAATGAAAACAAATGCAATAAAGTAAAAAAAAATTTAAAAGGGGGAGAATATAGCTCGGTTGTGGGTGCATAGCATGCAGGAGATCCGGGGTTCAATCCCCAGTACCTTCATTAAAAAAAATAAATAAAACTTACCCCCCCAAAAAATCAAACAAACATATAATAAAGTGAAAAAACATTTTTTTAAATCCTCAGAAGGAGAATTTCAAGTCCTATATTCTGCACTGAAATTTAGGAATAAGTAAAGTCAACTCAGGTACATATTTATGCCAATTCCACAAAAACATTGCTTTTCACAAATGCATTCTTTTGCTCTTGTTTACATAGGAAGAAGAAAAAAATGTCTCAAAAGCAGATGAAGGAAGCTTTTGTCAGTAATCATAATGGAACAAGCGTGCTTGAAGTAACCGAGGGCTTGTGCTTGCCTGCACTCTGTATCCTGGGCAGAGGGCTTCTGATCATTCTCTCACAGCACTTATGTTCTTCACATACCTGGAGAACTCCATTCTTCATTGACTTTGCTTTCATAATAGTTCCCGTGGTGACCACTTTGACCATTTTCTCTTCATTTGTCCTCCTTGAGTACCTGGCTGTAATCATCTTTGGGGCAGGGCTGTTCTATCAAATATACTGCAGGAGAACTTGCTATGCCAGAATGCCCATCAAGAAAATCCATGAGAAATTCTTGAAAGTCAGTCTAGAATCAGAACACATTCCAGCCATCTCCTGTTTCCGTGTAATTAACAGTGCATTTACTGCTGTTGCCATTTTGGCTGTGGACTTCCCACTTTTTCCTAGAAGATTTGCCAAAACCGAGCTCTATGGGACAGGAGCAATGGATTTTGGAGTAGGAGGCTTTGTTTTTGGGACTGCAATGGTTTGTCCAGAGGTTAGGAGGAAATATACAAAAGGGTCCAGATTTTACTATCTTACAAGGTCATTGTACTCTGTTTGGCCATTAGTCTTCCTAGGAATGGGACGATTGGTCATTATAAAATCCATAGACTATCAGGAACATTTAACTGAGTATGGAGTTCACTGGAACTTTTTCTTTACCCTAATATTTGTGAAGTTGATAACATCACTGCTCTTGATTGTTTTCCCCCTAAATAAATCCTGGATTGTGGCCATCAGCATTATCATATTATACCAGCTAGCCCTTGACTTTACTCCCCTGAAAAGGTTAATTTTGTATGGCACTGATGGCAATGGCACAAGGGTTGGTTTATTAAATGCGAACCGAGAAGGAATAATCTCTACGTTGGGGTACGTGGCGATACACATGGCTGGTGTTCAAACAGGGTCATATGTGCTTAAGAAAAGATCACATATCAAAGACTGGATAAAAGCAGCATATCATATTCTACTGACAGCTACTGTCCTCTTCATCTTTCTTTACATCATTCAGGTAAATGTGGAAGTGGCATCCCGAAGAATGGCCAATTTAGCCTTTTGTATTTGGATAGTTGCTTCTTGCCTGATCCTTCTTAGCAGTTTATTACTGGGTGATATAATTTTGAGTTTTGCCAAGTTTCTAGTTAAAGGTGCAGCAGTACCATGTTCTTGGAAACTTATCCATTCACCTGCTACAGATAAAAAGCATTCAGAATCTCTAGTCTCTGAACCTGAAGGAAAGAAACCCACTCTTTGTTTAATCACAGCAATGAACAGAAACCAGCTGATTTTTTTCTTGCTGTCAAATGTAACAACTGGCCTAATCAACCTGTCTGTAGATACCTTACACAGCAGTAACTTGTGGGCCTTTTTTGTGCTCAATCTCTATATGTTTACCAACTGCTTAATTATATATGTGCTACACTTGCAAGATAAGACTATAAAATATTGGTGATCAATAGGTGTTGGATATGTTTTGAAAAATATTATTTTAATGAGGAAGAATAAATATAAAATATGAAGAAAATGGGCTTTGGCAATGAAATGTTAACTTATTGTATTATAAATGTTTCATTCCTACTCTAACAGTTGTGATACTTAATATTCTAAATGAATCTCAACACTATATGAAACAAATCCATAAAGAAACAAAGCCTCGTGACTTGTTAGAATATTTATAAATTTCAGTATTTTAAAGAAACTTGTGTTTACATTTGTGCCACTGGAAGATTGGAAGGTAGAGAGGATTTTTACTTTGTCTTATATCACCTATTACCATTCTGTATTTTTTATTGTATTTTATAGTATTTACAGTAAAATACCTCAGCTTTGGGATTGTCAACACTACTGCTCAATTTTAATCTTTTAAAAAAGCCTCAGTATAAGAAAGCACAAGTTTAAAATCAAATACTTATAAAGTCAGAAAACAGTTAAATGCTCCAAAGAATAGACTGAATTGTATGTTGTGGTTTACACACTAATTATGAGACTTTTTTTTTGCCTTGAGACTAAATAATCCATTTTTTTAGCCTACTCTCTGCTAGGGATGATATGCAAAAGTTTCCTGATGTCTCGCAGCTTGCAATCTAATGGGGAAAACACATTAAACAACTGTTATAATCAAGAACCAACTTTACAGGAGAGTCAAGAAAGTTTTCCCCACAGATGGCTTTTTTAGGGGGGAGGGGGGATACAGCTGGATGGGATGAGGAGTTTTGGTGGCGGGGGGGGGGAAGAGAAACAATGAGAATGTCATCAAGTACTTAGTCTAACTTAAAACTACGGCTACATTAAGGTTTAACATCCTACTGAGAACTTGAGTCATTTAAAAACTAAGCAGACCTTTGAACCTGCTGTTCAAAATCTAAGATTTAAAAAACTTACAAAATTCTTAGTTTCCAATTCTAATGTTCCTTGTATACTGTTCAAAACGGGCAGAAAAAATTAAAATCTGCCTATTCTATTTTCAAGTAAAAATCTGATTATTGCAGAAGTAGGCAGGGGTCAGTGTTCAGGTTAATTTCATATTTGGTAAACAATCTGGATTATCTGTGTCATGTAGGTGGAGCCTCCTCTAACAGTCAATTGTAAATTTGCTGTTAGTTTTAAGTAGTTGCCCCAAATTAGTTCAAAATTTATTTTATTCCCTGATTTGTTAAACATGACTGTTATACTAATTAGTTTACTTTAACTTGTTACATAGATGATGGCTAATTTAGTATTTATGTGGCATTTTATCCTTACTAACTACAATCAATTATATTTGGAGGTAATCTATTATTGAAAGGAAATTCCCCCTAAAAAGAGTATGCTGAATAGTTACATAACTATAAAAACAAAGATCAAATTGGACTTTACTTTCAATTAAAAAGATGTTCGAAATTTAATAAGATTACAGTATGTAAATTAAGCATGACTAGGAAATGTGATTGGTTTTCCTGCTTACTATGCCCCAGTGCTAATAGCCCACAACTTACCTGTTCAAAGCATTCATAGGAGCGCTGAGAGGCTCTAGCCATACTGTTCTCATTAAAGAGAAAAGAAAGTAATGTAAAGTATTTGATGACTTAATGAGCATTTTTTCTAATTGGTCTATTGCTTCTTGTCTGAGGTCTTAGGTACCTTTCAGTAAGTTTATGTCTCTGTAAATAACTAAGAACAAAATGTGCTGTTTTCTCCACCTCCAATTATGAAAGTCATGTAAGAGAAAGCTAATGAATAGCATTCATACAAACAGAAAAATTAGTAAAAAAAAAAAAAAAACAAAAAACCATTCTGACTTGATTCTAGTTTACAAAAGAGAAAGAAATCATTCAGTAAAGATTTATTGTGCTCCAATGTGCCAGATACAGGGGTGCTGGGGAAACAACAGAAAGTAAGACCCTGCCCTCAAGTGGCTTATATTTAACTTGTGGACATTATTTTTCCTTTAAAAAATTTTCCATGGGGAAAATGTGTCTCTATTTTTGACAGATACAACAGAACTTCCCACTGTCAGTTTGTGAAAAAGAAAACCCAATTCACAGATACTCAGATTTGTGGTAATTTAAATAACATTCTGCTGCCGATTTTATTGCCACATATGACAACGTGGTTATTATAATTAAATTATAGTTAAAACAACAGTAGGTATTCTGATTAACTAATTTTCTTTTCAACTATCCATTTTTGAGGACAGAAAGGGAAGGGAGGGAGAAAGAGAGAAAGGAAGACTATACTCTAGGACCTTATCCTGGCTATGACCCTCAGAAAATGACTCATTCCCATGACTTTAATTTTAAACAATTATAAACTGGGGATGTCTATCAATACTTTTGTGTTCAGAAGATGACAATGTTTTATTTTTATTGAGCATCTACCATCCAATATGTGGTATAAATTATACAAAAACATACTTTGTTCCCTAGGAACTTATGTATAGTCTATGAAGATAAGAATATATGGAGTAAATCAGTATTCTTCATTTTTAAATCCAGGTAGCTTGGAGAATAGTCATATCTCATTCATGCCTGACTTTTGTGCCTGGCTTCTCACACACTAGGAACCTGTCAAAGAAGACAAATAATGGCATTCTGCCGATAATTTATCACATCTCCATCACATCAACTGTTCTTTATGAGGTATCAGCAAAATGTCCTCTGCTGTTTATTGCCTGCTCTTTCTTGGCCTTTAAAATTCTTTAGTCTTGCCCTTCACGATGCCAGTATCAAAATTTAAAAACAGGTAACAACCGGCTCTTTTATGCAATCACTTATTTTTGTCAATGAAAGGTAAGCTCTCTAAAGGCAGATAGTTACAAAATATTTCCTGCAGCACTATGCGTTATAGCTGAAGACAGACCAGTAGTGAAAAAATAAATGAGTGGCGGCTCTAAAATGAAGATACATAGTTAAAACTTGTAACAACTGTTCTGCAATAAAATAATTTTCTAAGCATTTTCCCTCAAATACTGATTTTTATCATATTTGTAGCACCCAGGCTCCTTGAGAAACGGTGATTTATCAAGCAAATTATTTACCTTTTCAACCTTACAATAAGGACTTATTAAATACCTATAGTATGTGAAACATTGTCCAAAGATACTAAGCAGTGAGCTCAGTGGACCTAAAAGACAAATCCAAAATGGAGAAAGTAATCAGACAAATGGGGAAAGTAATCTCCAATGGAAAGACACTGTTGAGGACTCATTTTGTTACTTTTTTTTCAATTGCAGTACAGTCAGTTACAATGTGTTAATTTCTGGTACACAGCACAATGTCCTGCATATACATACATATATTCTTTGTTACATTTTATATCTGGGTTTTAATGCCTTTTCTAACTTAGATTAAAACCCTCCAGGGTGAATACTTTCTTTGCTAGTACTGTGTACTCAGTAATTAAAGTTATTAAATTTAGCACCTATATATTGAGCCTGTCATTTTCAATGTCCTTTATTGACCATAATCCAAAGGAGTTTAAAAGGTATAAAGTAGGTACATTGATATAGTCTTTAAGTACTTTCAGATCTTAAAAGCCATAGTATTCATTTTTTTCTTAAAAGTGTTTTTATAAGAAAACACAAAATTCTCTAAAAATGTCCAGATTTTGGCTATATTCTGACAGCCTAACCTGTCAGAACCTGCATGCACATATTTACTGAATTTTAGCTAAGGATTCCACTGTTCTGCTCTCCTAACATGGCCAAAGATACACTTACTGGGTAATCACACCTTTGGGACTGAACAATGGTTCTTCCAGTTTATTATGTCACCTATCCTAACAGTGACCACACAGTGTCATAAGTCAACATGGCTAAGGATGCACTATGGGGTTTTTTGTTCTTGTGAATATCTAAGACGTCATGTGATGACCAAAATACTTTTTAAAGGTCAGTATCACAGTTCTAGCCTATTCTACAAGGAAATACAGATCTGTCATCAGGATTAGTTGTAAGAGCAGCAAATAGATTGATCCTTAAAATCGTCAAGACTTTCTTAGGGCAAAATACTTTCTAACAATTATTTTGGCTTTACAAGCAGGCCTCCAAAGCCTTCAAAGTAGGAACCGAGTACATGGTGGCACATAGAGAGTACATGGATTTGTCCTGACAGCAGCTCCGCTTCTCAGGACAGAGTCAGAGGGAAGGGCCTTTGGCCAGTACCAGTACTTTGCCCAAGGGAATCGGTGTCCTGTCTGAGTCTCTAAGTTAATATTAACCTAGCTCAAGAAGTTTCCAGGACGCATACACAAGCCACTCTCCGCATAGTCTGCTATTTGTCACTAGTGTAACAATGACAACAAAAAACTGTCAGCACTTAAAATATTTTTGGACCCCTCGGCGGGGTATCGACTAGAGTCTGTTTGCGAAGCGGTGGTGCGTCTGGCTCCTGGTGAATCAGGGGGTCAGGGAAAGTCGCGTCAAGGACCTGAAACCAAGCCGAGTTTGTCTCAGCCCCCAAATGCTCATCTCCCCTTCCCTCACTGACTTGGAAAGCCTCAGCTCCTCCCCACTTACCCAGGTCCTCACTGGGCCCCGACACTCGGGTAGGTCCTGAGTCAGCTTGGCTCGGCTCCCTTCGGCCCTCGGGAAAGCGGTTTGCAGGCCATCGCAGCGAGGGACTGAGGTTAGGCCTACTCACTCCTCCTAGCATCCCTATTTAGGACTTATCTGAGTAGCTAGACTCTGCGGAGGGCGCAGGTCACGCGTTGAAGGAAGCAAAGGAGCACCCCACCCCACCCCCACTGGTAGGGTTTCGAAAGAGGCGAAGCTGCGGTCTGGGTTATCGCGAGAGGAGAAGGCACTCCCCCCCCACACACACCCTCCCGCCCGGCACTCTCAGCCCCTCCCTGCCCCACCCTCCCCACTCCCCCGCCCTCCCTCCCCCACTGCCCGTGGCGCGAGCGGCTGACTGAGCCTGGAGAGGAAACGACATTAGAAGCCGCGCTCCCGCCCAGGCCCGGCCCGTCGGACCGGCCGGGGCCCGTCCGTCCGACGGCCCGGGGTAAACCGGGGGACGGTCCGGTACGGGGGG